GCAATTCAGTGGTTGTTATTTGTTTCTGTGTGTCATATTTGTTTTTTTCGTTCATTATTTTGTACATAAATTAGCCGTCAGTTTTCTCGTTTGAATTGTTTTACATTTGCTATTTCGGGGCCTTTTATACATTTAGCTGATTATGTGGTATGGGTTTTGCTCATTGTTGAAGGCCGTACAGTGACCTATAGTTGTTAATTTCTGTGTCATTTGGTCTCTTATGGAGAGTTGTCTCATTGGCAATTATACCACATCTTCTTGTTTTAATATTGAAGAATAGGCTAAAAAAAATAGTTTTTAGGGTTTCCAGACCTGCCCTCATTTTGAGCCCTAGTGTCTTATGAAGATTTCTTTGAAAACTGTTTACCAACACTTTATTTGTTGTAACTGCTACTTTGTTTTATCTAGATATGCATCAGAATTGATACATTTTGTAAAAAAGATATATGTTAAAACAGAGTTACTTTGTTCAATTAAAAAAAATGTGAAAATAGTGGACATTATGGTCTAGAGCAAGGCTTCCAAAACGGTCATATATGCCGGACATTTGTATAATGTCCGGTAAAAGTCCGGCTGGGCAAAGCATGAAACGGTCATCTACTTTTTAGTTTTCAAGGCTTTAAGAGACGGTCATTTTAACATAATTCGCGATCTTTTTGACCCAACTTTTTGCCTTTAACAGCCACACATTTCCGGTCATAAAAGTGACATGATCATTAAGTACTATCAAAACAACCCCTACTTTAATACCTTCTCATTTTAATCAAGGCTAATTAGTTGTCAGACAGCTGAAATTTACCTGTTCAGGTGACAGCTAGGTAAACTATTTTGAACTGGACATTGATCGGTCTATTCAAAGTTATTTTCTTACATTTCAGCGGTTTGCATCTAATTAATTTAGTCAAAAAGATTTAAATTATCAGAAATACGTTTACAAATATGATTTGATGAAAAAATTAAAATGGTGAAAATGAAAAATAGTCATAACCATGTTGTTTGAACCTAGAGACATGTCACTGTTTGAACTAGTACACGTGTGCGCATGTGCGCAGGTGTGAAATTTAATTATGCATCCTAATTTCTTCAAAAAATGCTTAAATTGTCATTGATACCTTTATCTCGGTTTTATTTCGAATATTTTCTTGAAGAAATAACGTAGAAAGAGCTACTTCCACTCATTCACGCTTTGCAAACGTACACGGAATTTACGTATCCGTCTCTGGTCCATGTTTGGAAGCAGGAAAACTCGCCCCACTGGCAAATCGCCCCTCACCAAATTGCCCCACTTTTTCACCAACTCGCACCACTTTTAAAAAATCGCCCCAAACTGGTTTACCAACTCGCCCCACTTTTAAAAAAATCGCCCCACTTGTGAAAAGGGTTAAATCCCGTTAATTTTTCTCCTGCCAACTCGCCCCACTTAATGAAATAATGTAAACCTAGATGAATATATAATTTCAGGTCTGCCAACTCGCCCCACTTAACTAAAAAAATCTTATACACAGAATACAAAAAAACTAAAATTTACTAAATCATTATTATTGACATTGAGTTGGCCTAGCTTGGCTCACATCGAAACAGTAAGCTATAAAGGGCCCCAAAAATGACTAGTGTAAAACCATTCAAACGGGAAAAACATGTGTATCTTAGGTTTTAATAGGTATTGATTTTATTTATAAGTGGGGCAGTAACATAGATATACAACGGGATTGCATCTTTCTTCATAAGTTGGGCGAGTTGGCATTACTAAATTCATCAGGATTTATCTATTTTTCACAAGTGGGGCGAGTTGGCAGACCTTATATCAGAGGGATTTTTTTCCCTTTTCATAAATGGAGCAATATATCCAACCCATTTTCAATGGGATTTTATTCTTTTCATAAGTGGGGCAAGTTGGTAAACAAAAGTGGGGCGATTTTTAAGAAAGTGGGGCGAGTTGGTGAAAAAGTGGGGCGATTTGCCAGTGGGGCAATTTGTCATGGATTCCCATGTTTTACCATTGTCAAGATAACATCTGGCATAAAAACGAAAGTAAAGTTTTTGACAACGTTATTTTGCACAAATAAAGAGTCTAAGGCAGATATAAGTACAGTAGTACGCTGATGTTGCACACTTCGAATGATGCACTGCCAATTTAACAGTTTATGTCAGAACTTCGAATTTGAATCAAAGAAAGTTTAATATAGTTTTCTTTAATGTCAATCAAAATTTGGGATGACCAACTCGGCAACTGATTTAATACCATAATTGCCTTTTGTTTATTTAGTCTTAAGGGATTAAAATCGGGATAATATATAAAATGTCCGGCTGACTAAAAATAATTTTGGAAGCCCTGGTCTAGAGGTATGTAAAAGACCAATTATATACATGTACAAAGTGAAAACATGAATGTTTCCAGAATTGGACTCCAAAAATAAATAGCGAAATTTCAGGGTGCAGTCAACAGTTTTTTTTCTATAACATCATATTTTGAGGGACCATGCATAAGTGATCCTTAGTGGTGTTATTTTTAATAAAGATATTTGTAAAAAACTAGATTCACACATGTATCACTGGAATCAGAATTTTCTTTAGTTTATAATGAAATAAAAATAAAGTTTAATTTTAACATAGTAAAGAAGTTTTATCCAAAGAGAATGAAAAAGTAAGCCCAATCTTGACATGAAAAACATAAAATCAGGTCATGTGCATACCCATCATGCCCTTGTATGCATGATACAGCCACTTTTCAGATAATCAAAACTGTATGAATTTCATAGATTTTTACCTGGTCCTTTAAAAAATTCTCTCTTCAGTTTATGTTTGCATGGTTCGGAAACAGCTACAGTAGCTACAAATAAGTTTTCAATTTTCACTTCCAAAATTACAGTAAGCTAACAGTGTTGTCTCCTTCATACATTGTAAATCTGCCATAATCAACTTGTTAAACTGACTGCTAGACTTTTGAAAAAGAATTTTGAAGAATTTTGATTTCTTTGAGACTTGCTTAACCTTGATCACTGATCAATGAAATCATTATTACTCATAAGAGAGTATTTCACATGATAAAAAAAAAATAGAATTTTTTTTCAAGCAGTCACTGAACCATGAAAATGAGGTCAAAACCAAATTTATGTTTGCATACAAATCCAGCACTATATTATCATATGTATAAATAAAAAATAAGAAGATGTGGTAAGATTGCCAATGAGACAACTCTCCACAAGAGACCAAATGACACAGAAATTAAAGTCTATAGGTCACCATACGGCCTTCAACAATGAGCAAAGCCCATACCGCATAGTCAGCTATAAAAGGCCCTGAATTGACAAATATAAAACTATTCAAACAAGAAAACTAACGGCCTGATTTATGTACAAAATAATGATCGACAAACAAATATGATATGCAACAAACGACAACCACTGAATTATAGGCTCCTGACTTGGGACAGGGACATACAGAATGTGTGTGTGTGGGGGAGGGGGGGGGGGTTAAACATGTATTTATTTTAGGATTTAAAAAAAAACATTAACGGAAAGCTTAATACTAAAATATATGATAAAAGAGATGATTTTTCATTTCCTATCGTTAATTATCCATTTTTAGATGGTGACGTTCCCTTGTCACCATCTTACGGTGTTTATATATCTCAACTTGTACGATTCGCTCGTGTATGTAACAATGTTTTAGATTTTAACGAGAGAAATTTATGTATTACTGAAAAATTATTACACCAGGGTTTTCGATATCACAAACTAGTCAAAACATTTACTAAATTTTATCATCGGTATAAGGACATCATTCGTAAATATAGCTCAACATGCAGACTTCTTATACGTTCAGGTATTTCACATCCATTTTTTTATGGAAATATTCTTTATAAAGCACAAAAATGTCAGTATTCACCTCTGAAACTAACAAAACCTTTAAATAGACTTATTAAGAAGGGATATAGTTACGATACTGTTGTCAGGTCATTAAAGATTGCATATTTTGGCGTTAATATTGATTCACTTATAGGGTCTTTGCATCGGCACTAAACACATTTATTTAAAAACCAGTTGTTGGCATGACACGGGTTATGTTCTTCTCATATATGTTATGATGGTATGATACTAAACCCCTAACGGGAAGGATTGTGCCTGATATTCATATGATGAAGACATAAGCTTTCAATCAGTTTAATTGAAGTTTGGAGCTGGCATGTCAGTTAACTGCTAGTAGTCTGTTGTTATTTATGTATTATTGTCATTTTGTTTATTTTCTTTGGTTACATCTTCTGACATCAGACTCGGACTTCTCTTGAACTGAATTTTAATGTGCGTATTGTTATGCGTTTACTTTTCTACATTGGCTAGAGGTATAGGGGGAGGGTTGAGATCTCATAAACATGTTTAACCCCGCCGCATTTTTGCGCCTGTCCCAAGTCAGGAGCCTCTAGCCTTTGTTAGTCTTGTATTATTTTTAATTTTAGTTTCTTGTGTACAATTTGGAGTTTAGTATGGCGTTCATTATCACTGAACTAGTATATATATTTGTTTAGGGGCCAGCTGAAGGACGCCTCCGGGTGCGGGAATTTCTCGCTGCATTGAAGACCTGTTGGTGGCCTTCTGCTGTTGTCTGTTCTGTGGTCGGGTTGTTGTCTCTTTGACACATTCCCCATTTCCATTCTCAATTTTATTACATACATGTAGATGTATTTTGGAAAATAGTATTGGTAGGATGCTGCTTAATTGTAATTTAGTTACCTCACATTTCCTTTCACAAATTTTAATCAATGACTTCTCCAACCAAAATCTTTCAAAATTCAATAATAAGTAAAGATGCATTACCATGTACTTTGTGATGTCATAGAAATGTACATCATTACATAATCTATGATGATCATTAATGTATATATTGAAATACTTTACATTGGAAACTTTACATGTACATGTATGTGTCATTACTTGCTTTGGAAGTTTACCTGCACAGGTGAATTTATATATAACATTTAAGACTTTTATTATTACAGCTGGTTAGGGGGAATATTTTGATAGGAATAGAAAAAAGACACAATATATTAATTATTCGTTTATTACATGTACTTGTGTCATTCTAATTGTATGCGTAAGTAGACGATAATCACATTTTTATGCTAAATTTTTTAACGTATGTTAGTTCATTGTAAGATGGTTGACAGGCTGCGGGAAGGGTGTTACCTTTGTATGTGGTTTAGAGTGGCAGGCAATTATCACGTTTTAGAATTGGTAGATTGATTGTCGTTTGTTTAGCAATATTAAAATCTGTGTATCTTCTGAGAGGCATATTAAATCAAAGCTACTTAATTTTTTTCCCATATATACATTTGTACATGTATATATATCATGTTGTACAATTGTTAGATTGATTGTCGTTTGTTTAACGATGTTAAAATCTGTGTATCTTCTGAGAGGCATATTAAATCAAAGCTTCTTAATTTTTTTTCCATATACATTTGTACATACATATATATCATGTTGTTAATTTGTACAATTGTTAGATTGATTGTTTCTTGTTAATCAATGTTAAAATTTGAGTACCTTGTGACCAGCATATTGAATCAAAGTTTATTATCTAGAGATTTTTCCATATATATATATACATACCAGTACATGTGGGTATTGCATAAATGTACCAGTACGCAGGCCAGAGATCTCAAAATCTTTTTTTCCTGGTGATTTTTGAAGAAAATCTGCTGGTCCTTACTATTCATTGGATTTCTATTGCAAAATACCAAAATTGTGTCGGTCCTTAACACTTTTTGGTGGTCAAAACCTTCGGACCAACAATTTTCCAGAATTGTTAGTACCTACTTTTAGATGTAGTATTGAGTCTATCTTAAATATGCCTGTTCATACATGTACATGTAGGCATGAACTCTATTATTTAATCTGATCGATGTCACTTACATGTATATTGAATATACAATTAATGTAGCAGGGACTGCTTCACTTGAGGATGCATGAAAACACCTAAAACTATTTTGCAGGATTCATATTTCTAAATCGAACTTTCAGTTGCAAAATTTTATGAACTGTTATTTGTCGCTTTCTTTTGACCTTGATATTGTGTCTTTCCTTCACTGATGACTTTTTTTATTGCTGCTATGATATCTTTTTAAAATTAAAGGCATTAGATCTATTAAGTATTGATTATTTGATATAATAAACAGCTTATAAAATTTAAATACTGGACCACAAATATTTTTTATGCACCCGCCGTAGCAGAGGGGGCATTAAGTTTTACCCTTGTCCGTCTGTATTACCACTAAACACAGATCAAGTTTGAATTTTGGTGGCGTCACTTTTACTGTTCTAGAGTTATGCCCCATTACAAATGGAAAAATTGCTGAATTTTTCATTTCCGTTCTCTAACTTTAGTTTGCCTCAACCAAATGTTATGAAACTTATACACAATGCTAATTACCACAAAACACAGATCAAGTTCGAATTTTGGTGGCTTCACTTTTACTGTTCTAGAGTTATGTCCCTTTACAAATGGAAAAATTGCTAAATTTTTCGTTTCCGTTCTCTAACTTATGTTTGCATCAACTAAATGTTATGAAACTTATATACAATGCTTATTACCACAAAACTCAGATCAAGAACACATTTCGGTAGCGTCACTTTTACAGTTCTTGAGTTATGTCCCTTTAGAATGTTATATGCAAGAGGGGCATCATCTGTGTCCCATGGACACATTTCCCAGTTATTTTCATTTGCCCTAGCTTGGCATTTCTGACCTGTATGATCAAGTATCTTATAATTTCCAAAAAAGAAAATATCAGACACTCTAGGGCAAAATTTTAAGTTTCTGACTAGGCTTTTTGGAATCAATGAGTTGTCTATAAAATCTTACCTCAGGGTGTCATGAGGTCATATTGGATTGTTTTTGTTTCTCATTATTCAAATTGACAATGTTAAAATAAGTTTTTTTGAAATAGCAGGAAAATTGACATGAACTCTCTTAACATGGCTGGTAGTATAAATCAGCAATATTTTGGTCCATAGATTACCAAAATCTGAAAGTTTGCATCTTTTAAAAATTTTAAAAAGTGTAAGATTTTCATTCACAATTTATATAGTTTTTCTAACTCAATAAAAACAGTTTACTTCAAATGTCGTTTACATACTTGAACAGCTATCAAATTCAGTAGGGGAGGCTTCCGTTACATTCGTTTGATTCATAAAGTTTTTTTTTCACTTCAATCGAATTTCTACTCATGTGTGCAGGAAGTATAATTATAAAACAAGTAATTGAGTTTCTACATTTAGGCTAAATTGTATGCTTCCTCTTTTGTATATGGATCTTATTTTTCTGACTTTGGTTAGAAAAATGATTTTCAGGTTGATTTTTTTTTTTAAACACACTCCTACATGTACATTGTTTTTTGAATCTTTAATATCTACAATTTTCTGATGCAAATACTCTACTCATGAAAACATTCTAGTCAAGATCAGGGATTGAAGTTAAAATTTTGGCATGGTAGCCCACATATATAGTCCTATACAAGAAAAGCAGAAATTTAAGTAGCCCACACCAAATTTTAGGGGCCATTGGCGAGTGGGACCCTGCTAATTTCAAAACCTGAAGATGCATATATGTCAGTGAATATGTTTCTTTACAACAATTCTAGTCATTCCTTGTTTATGAGTGTTCCAGTATTTCATAATAAAATATTTTTCCTACCTACCGACCCTGCAGTCTGAAGGTACGGTCGGAAAACTGCAAACAAACATATTTTTAAGGTTGGCCTCAATCATGAACTTAATGCACATGTTTATATATACAGTGATATTATGCAAATTTTTACAAGACATGGCAGTTTGAAAAAGGAATTGCTTTTGTGTTGCTTCTAGCATATCTAGATTTAAATTGAAGTGTATGTTCAATTAAATAAATCAGAATTTGCATTGCTATAGATTGTTCTTTATTGAACAACAGTTATGTCCCTTTGATTATAAATTCACAAAATAAACTTGGCTTAATATTACTATCATCAGTTAAATCATGTATTAGTTTGTTAAGAAACTCAAATGAACTAAACAAATGATATAGGGCAACTTTCAAGGTAATTTTCATGGTACAAATTTGTTTGATAAGCTAGAAAGTCTAAATGTAAAAACCAAGTCAAACTACATTTTTGTTTAAAAAAAAAAAATATTTTATCAGTTTCAGAATTTTTTTTTTTAATCAAGGATAATCTTTATTCGATGAATGAATAAAATGGCAGGTTTATATCCTAATTTCACCCTTATCAGTATTTGTATAATAATTTCTCACACAAATTTCTGAATCAGCTGTAAATGATATTGATTTCGGAACAATGGATACACAGAAAAAGCAGGTAATTACTGATAGATATATGCAATATCTGTATTCTTTATTAATCCTTTGAGAATATATAAAACATTCATAGATGTAAAGCTGGCATTCAGTTCAGACTGTTAAATGGAATGAGTCTGTAAATGGTTAAGGCAATTTTGTGGATACAAGGATTTATGGGGTACTGTATTCATTGATGAGAGAGCAACTTAATAAATATAATGTAACAGTTAATGATCGTTAAACGAAAGTTCCTTATGATTAATTATCAAAGACAAAGTATATAGTTTAAACTCTTCACCATTGATTCCTCTGAAACAGCTCTCTCCATCCCATTTGGAGCAAACTTTTGAAAATCAATCATTACTTTCATCAAATGATTTGAGATTTCAGTGTTATTGTCTTCAGAACCCTATAATCAATATTTTTCAATATTATTATTGTAAAAATGATTTCCTGCAGTTATTCAAAGAGCAACTAAACTTTGTGCCTGTCTGTGCCTATTATCCTCAGAAAAGCTAAGCAACTAGCTACACCCTCCACTAAATCTGCATATTTTTTTTATTTGCTCAGTTTCAGGTGTTTCCCATTCCTCATTTTCCTTCCAGTAGTTTTGGTTTTCTGTTTTTTATATAAATTAATATATTATTTTGACAGGTATATCTGATTGATAGAATGGAGTGGCTCAAATTTCCATTAGACATCAATCTATTCATAGTGTTATCCATGATTTTATGTATTGAAAGGCTGAAAAAAATATATAAAAAATCTAGAAACCTTGTTTGCACCTCAATTATAAAATTTCCTCATTTCAAAACAAAAAAATATTGAAGCAGATTGCATATCAGAATAAAATTCAACATTAGATAAAATCAAAACTTTGCCCATGAGTCAGTAAAAAGGATGACTGAGTTGCCATGTATGGATCAGAATGACACTCCCACAAAATTTTAGTTGTATCTTTCTTCTCTAGAATCATATTTGATTGAAATGTCTGAAATTTCTGTCTTCTGCAGACATTGAAGACTATTCCAATAATATTTGTAGGGGGGTCAGGCTGTATTGGATTTTTTTGCTTTTAATCAATAAAACTGTAGTAAATAGTAACTTCCTCATATTTCATTATGCAGAAAACTCAATAATCAATGGAGTATTATAATCCAATAAATGTATATTTTATACATTTGTTTATATAAGCATCTGTCTATTTAATTGACTGGAAAGATTATCATTTCCCTTTGAACAAATATTTAATCCATTTAACCTGATTGATTGATAAAAATCAGTCTGATCACCCCTACAGTGCTGAGAATTTTGTTTGAGTCCAGACAGATGATGAAAAGTGCATGTTTTCTCTTTGTTTAGGGATGAGGATTCTTAAGGGTTGATGATACTGATTTTAGACTGACCAATTCATTGATAAACAGACCAGTGACCTGATAACTACTTTAATCCAGGACGTAAGAAGAAAGCTCACAGACTAAACACAAAAATCGGTAAATATTTACGTTAACATTTAAACAGTTTATAAAATGAGTCACATGTTATATTTATAAAGTGACAAAAGAAAATGTCATTTATTTGTTTTTTTTAGATATATTTAAAATTTCAATTTCTAACATCAAATTATTGATTTATTTGAATATATTTTACAACCTTTTAAGGCAATTATTTTGACTGTTTGTTGTCACAATTGAACATTGGCATGTGAAATATTTATTTGACAGTTATAAAATAGAAAGGTGATTGAAACGGAAATGTTGAATACATGTAGCATACCACACAAAGGGTTTTTTGACATATTTCATTTCAAATGACATAACATTCTGAAAATTTCTATCCTGTGTATTGGTTTTGTAAGTATGAATTAGTATTGCATTTTAATTTGTATTTATATTAATTTTCAGTAAATTTTGGTATGAATTATAATATGTACATTTCATTTGATTTTTTTAAACATTTTTAGCAAGTTGAGAAAAAGTATGAACTTATGTGGGTGTGAGTGGGAAAGGGGGAGGGGGTCAGGCAGTTTTCTGAAACTAGAAAGATCTAGTACTTGTTATTTGACATTAGTCTTGATCTGTGCAAAGACTTACTTTTTATGCCCCACCTAGGGGCATTATGTTTTTCGGTCTCTGCGTTCGTTAGTCTGTCCGTTCGTCCGTCTGTCCCTATTCAGATTAAAGTTTTTGGTCTTTAGGTAGTTTTTGATGAAGTTGAAGTCCAATCAACTTGAAACTTAGTACACATGTTCCCTATGATATGATCTTTCTAATTTTAATGCCAAATTAGAGTTTTAACCCCAATTTCACGGTCCACTGAACATAGAAAATGATAGTGCGAGTGGGGCATCCGTGTACTATGGACACATTCTTGTTTCTTAAAATGATAAAAGTTCTCTCAGTGGCATACACCTTATCGCTATTTAGTCCAATCCAGAAAAAAACAGTCATTTAGACAACTTCCTGTTTGGGTCAACAGGCAACAAACAAAGGTCATCAGTAACGAGCTGAGGGAGGGAAAAATTTAGAAAGCGAGCAATAGGAAACTTTGATAGATTATGATCCACTTTTTCGAAACTCAACTTATGGTCAAAAAATATTTTGTTTGAAGTATTAACGATGTTTTAAACAGGTCTCATTAAAAAGTATCATGCATGGTGCATTGTTTAAACAGGGTCCCAGATACCTTCAACTGGATAAAATAGTTGTGTAATTTTAGAACTTATCCGGAATGGAATAAATAGCGATTAATTGTATTCAAAGGAATGGTGTCTCCTTTTGAATTAAAGCAACACATTCATATACAGTTTATTTTATAAACCAAATAACTAATGATGTTGATTTTTTTTAACACAGATTATGAATAAAATATATATGTCAAAACAAATATTTTGATAAAAAATAATCAAGTTGAATATTAGGTCTAAAATAATAAAGTCTGTTTCTGCTATCCTCCCTATATTCCCTTTAAACATGTAAGTCAATCATAGATATATTTGTGTTTTGATCATGTTACTTGATACTTTATAAATAGATAAATGATATATATTTTAATAAATATATAAATATATTGGTCACATGGTCACTTTGACATTTTAAATTCTCAATGTAAGCCTGTCCCACTCACTCACACACACACACACACACACAGTTTCGTACTTTTCCCCAACTAGCTCAAAATGTTGAAGGGAATTTTTCAACTGTCATATACACAGAAATAGATGTTTATAACCACAAATGTCAATAAGATGATGTGTTAGGTCAGCTATCACATTTTATTGACATTTTTGGTTAAACACTAAAAAAGTCCAGACATTATTGGTTAAGCACCCTCCAAGGTCAGAAAATTTCCTGTAATGGTCTATTTAAAATTTCTTTAACTGAAAAAAGAAAACTGTTTTACCTACATTTTTCTGTCAGAAGGCATGTTACCTTTGCCCCAGGGAGTAATATTAAAAATCCCAAATGACATTTTATAATGGAATCAATTTACATGTTTACAAGTTTTCAAATAATTTATCACTTATTTTTATTGTGAAATTTGAATGTCAAAATGACCAATATTGAAATAACAGTTATCATTAATATCAATTAACAATTTTAACACACATATGATTGACTAATCATAACTTAATGATTAACAGATGTTCTGAGTAATCCATTTCATTTCATTATCAGACATGATGATGACTCACAGTGATTCCATCAAATCTATTTCTGTGTAGATGACAGTTGAAAAATTATTCCCTTTGCACAATATTCAAAACATATGGCATGGTTTGTACATATGGCTAGCTACATGCATTCAGTTTTTCCATGTTTAATGCATTTTGTTTGTTCAACATGCATGAAACATGATTGCATAACATTGTTATTTAATGTAAACATGCAAAAATATGATTTTGAAATGAATTTTAGCTGAGCACTCTAATTGTTTGTTTTTGTGCTTTAGCATGAATAAACATATAGAGAACAGCTTTTAACAGAACATTTACAGTAAATATTTTGCTTTTTATGTATGAAAGGTTTTTCAAAATTTCTTGTTAAATTTTGTATACTGTCAAAGTGAAAATAAACTAACAACTCATCAATCAAGGTTATAGAGGATTGAAATTTTGTCAGAACACATGCACTGGTATTTTTTTGTTAATAATACAGGGCACATATCTGTGTTTTTCAATGAACAAAGATACTGTTATTGACCTCTTAGGAGAAAATCCGCTCAAAATGGTGATGGGGACTGTCTTGGCCGTCAAATTTCTCATTTGAATTGTCTTACATTGTCATTTGCAGGGTCTTTTATAGCTAGCTATGCAGTTTTTGCTCATTGTTGAAGGCCGTATAGTGACCTATAGACTAGTTGCTAACTTCTATGTCATTTGGTCTCTTTAAGAGTTGTCTCATGCCTCATAGGCAATTCTACCACATCTTCTTATTGTCTCGCCTTGACAGAGTCAAAAAGTGAGACATAGGTATGCTGTTTCCGGCGGCGGTGTCATCAGCAATGTATTAGTTTGTGATTATGGTGAACCACTAGTGGTAGGTCAATGATATTTGGTATGCAGTTGTATTAGCATTGGCACATCTCATTTCCATGGAGATTATTTGGCCCTGCCCCCTCAGTCATGGTCTATTGAGTCATTGACTTCTAAACTTTGCTTAGTTTACATGTATTAGTTTGTGATTAGGTCAGTTTATGGGGAACCACTAGTGGTAGGTCAATGATATTTGGTATGCAGTTGTATAAGCATTTGCATATCTCATTTCCATGGAGATTATTTGGCCCTGCCCCCTCAGTCATGGTCTATTGACTTTGAAACTTTTGCTTAGTTTACATATGTATTAGTTTGTGATTAGATCTGTTTAAGATGAACCACTAATGTAAAGTCAAATTTGTATGCAAATGTCTATTGGTATTTGCAAGTTTCATTTCCATGGAGATTATATAACCCCACCCCCTCATTATGGTTCATTGACTTTGAAACTTTTACATAGTTTAAAATTAATGTTTGTGTTTAGGTTTGTTTAAAGGGAATGACTTATGAAAAGTCAATGTTATTTGGTATGCAGTTGTATTAGCATTGGCACATCTCATTTCCATGGAAATTGTTTAGCCCTGTACCTTCAGTCATGGTTCATTGACTTTGAATATTTGCATAACTTACATGTTAAAATATTGCTATTTTAATTTCAACATTTGCATTGTCAGAATAACAAAAAGGCGAGACATATCTCTGTGTTAACAGTTTATTTTTATATTGAGAACAGTTAAGTGTCTGTGTTAGTTTTGCTTTGTAGTGACGGCCTCACTGTGACTTTGAGATGAAGAACAGGAATACAATTGCTATTCTTTTACCAATATTTGGGTTTTGTAAAGTCCATGTAGGGAATAAGTATTATAAACTGATAAATCACATCTCTTCTTATTCATAAAATCTTCAGTATAACTGATGAAGGTCAAAGAAATTATATAGTCACATCCGAACTGCATTTATTGGTGACACACTCGAGTTACTTTTTTTAGCCATGTTTAAGATTCAAGATTTTACAAGTAATGCAACTTAGTCAGTTACTACATCGTGTGTGGTATTGAAAATCCATGACAAAAATGGGTCTCCTTGACCTACTTTTGGCAATTGAAAGACTTATTTAAACTTGCAGAAAGGGGCACATCAATCTTAAATGATAAATAAAAGATTGCCACAATTGATGAATACAAAAACTTGTGAGAGATAAAACTCTTGCTCCAGATCTTTATTGTAATAAAGTAAACATATTCTATTCTTCAAAGTATATAGTAAAAAATGTTTCTAGAGTGCAGCTGACAAAATGAATGCATTGATGTAAATAAGATGTGTCACTGTTTAGGAATGAAGATCCTGTTGTGAATCTACCTAAATTTATGTAATTTAATATATCAAAGATTACATAATTTGTTCGTCACAAGCTCGGAGTGTGACTTTATGATCATTTATGAATGCCCTTGTAAACTTCTAAACATTTAAAAGAAGCTCTTAATCTCTTTTAATGATATTTTGACAAAAATTAGCAGACATTTCCCGCCAGAGTGACAGCACGTTAAATAAGTTTGGTACTTTCCTTTAAATTAATATTAAATTGTAAATTATATAAATATAGATTCTACCACTCTACTGAGTGTGATACAATATTTATCCACTCGAGACAGTAAAGTTTTCAAATTTAAAACGCATTTTATATATTTGAAAATTTAATTGTCGAGAGTGGATAAATATGGTATAGCACAAAGATTTGGTGATAGAATCTGTTTCTCTAATGATTTATAAACGATATACAGACAAACTCAATCCTTCTTTTCGAATGATTTGCAAAAAGATGTGTTCTTTCTTTGTGACATCATCAGACATGGTCACCTTTTTTCATGACATCACAATAGGAAATTCAGAGGAAAGCAAGAAAATTTGACGTCTTAATCGAATTTTGACCAATGAAGAACTGAGATCAAACAAACCACACGTTGATTAAATAAAAATAATCAACAGGTCAGGAAAAGGATAAATCGTGTAAGAATAATATAAAACTGAATATCCATCTTTTACAATGTAACAGCTTTGAGATTAAAGGACATCTGATTGATAGGAACCACTACCCCTCTAGGTTGATAGATATGAGGTCAATCAGGCAAAAAAAAAAATGTGTTTACGGTCACCCGACCGACCCTCATTTTATTGCTGCGACCCTAATCTTTTTTTATCGGCAATTTGCTGGAATTCTGGAAATTCCCACCTTTTCTGTCACCAGTACTTGTATTTACTGTATTAAACAACAATTGCAGCCTCCAGTGAAAACAAATTACAATTTAAAAAGAAAACTAGCTGATAGACAAGCATGTGCACCACTACAGTGTCTTCTGTTTCTCTGTATTAAGCTAATTGTATCAAGAAACTACAGTTGAACTCCCCCACCACCACCACCGCCACCACCATCACAATCACCACCACCACCACACCACCCCCCCACCCCAAAAAAAAAAAAATAATTGACCTACCGACCCTGGGTTTTTTTCAGCATGTGGAAAATCACATATTTTTTTATTTGCCTCAGCCCAGGCTTGTAAAATTCTAAAGTGCCTGTAAGAATTTCTATTTCAGGCCAATAGATTCTAAACAAAATTTATCAACAAAAAATGATTGTGAGGCCTGTGGCTGCCAAAGTTTATTGTGAAGATTGCATTAGCATCAAACAGGCATTTCATTCTAAATGACATAGACATATTGGCTGTCAATTACTATTACAACCGAAACATTAATACTTTGCAATTCTTGAAATGTTTTGTTTCTTAGTCATGTTGATTTTTGTCGAGCCTGCGACTTTTGTCGCAAAAGCGAGACATAGCGATCCTACATTCTGTCGTCAGAGGCGGCGTCCACAAATATTCACTCTGTGGTTAAAGTTTTTGAAATTTTAATAACTTTCTCAAACTATCCTGGATTTCTACCAAACTTTGACAGAAACTTGTTTATGATCATAAGATAGTATCCAGAAGTAAATTTTGTAAAAAAAATCCTGTTTATCCGTATTTTTAAATTGAGAATGGAAATGGGGAATATGTCAAAGAGACAACAACCCGACCAAAGAGCAGACAACAGATGAAGGCCACCAATGGGTCTTCAATGCAGCGAGAAAATCCCACTCCCGGAGCTGGTCCTCAGCTGGCCCCTAAATAAAATTGTGTGCTAGTTCAGTGAAAATAGACGTCACACTAAACTCCAAAACATATAAATGAACTAAAATTAAAAAACATAATAGACTAACAAAGGCTTACTTATAAACGGACTTAGTTTTTTCTGCCAGCTAACATTCCATATTTCATTTATGAAATTATTTAGTATAATAAGCCAGATCTTCAAAGTTGTCTCCCCTTTTTTTTTGAAAGTTGAGTAATGTTTAATAAAATATCATAAGATTTGTTTGTGAACCAAGAAGTAGAAAAAAATCATACACTTGAAGTTTTATTGCAGAAAATCAATCATTGCAAAACAGCTCAATTTACTTTCATTGAAATCTAATTTTAAGCTTATTTCATAGACTAATAATTCTGTTACACAAGATTTATTTGCAATTTTTCACAATTTGATGTAACATTTTAAAAGATAATCTATAAATGAACCCCCATGGGTGGAACAAATATTTTGAATGAATGGTTTATTATGAAAAAAAGAACTTTTCCTATATTTTTAAAGTGAAATTTATAAACTTCTGATAAGAATTTTGAAATTTTCTAAGTTTATCTTTTATTAAGATTTTAAATGATTTTTTTTTATTGAATGTTTTACTGGATATTCTCTGATGTACAGGGACATTTTTGTCGACTGGCAGCATTTGTTGACAGACACATAGATTTATAGTGAAATTGACATTGTTTGTATACATGTATATTTCAAGTTGAATTTTAATGTTTGATTTGATACATTAATGTACATGGATATATATGTTGACCAACTGCTTATGACCCTACCATGTAAACAAAAGTTGTCATCCAAAAGGTCACTTGTAACATTTATGGAGATAATATCTGATATCTGATATTGACAGTGTTACATATTGTACATTGATTTGTCTAAGATAAATTCATTGAATTACGAATATGAAACTACTATTTCTATGAACAATATACTTCCCAGATGTTGGTGTGGAATCTTATTAATAATTAATTGAAGAAAAATAGGCCTTTTACAGCTTGTATATCTTCTCATAGATTTTAATATTTTGTGTGGATTAACAGTAGTATTTTGTGTGGATTAACAGCTTTAAGTGGATTAGGATTGTTCGATTCTTGTTAATTGGATTAATTGATTTGGTTTTATCCTTTAAAATTTGGTGGTCGGAAAATTAGTAAAGTTTAAGAGTTAAAGTTCATACAACTGCAGAAAATAAACATTTACTTAAGAAATCAAGATGTCAGCGGAAGAGTAAGTAACTAGTATTCTTATCAGGTAAAAAGGAGAGAGAAATAGAGAGTGAAAGAGAGAGAGAGAGAGAGAGAGAGAGAGAGAGAGAGAGAAAGAGAGCAAGAAAAACAGGCACATGGCAACATATAAAATGGGAGAGAGGGAGAGAGAGAGAGAGAGAGAGAGAAAGAGAGCAAGAAAAACAGGCACATGGCAACATATAAAATAGGCAGGTGCTGTGAAAATGGTCCAGCTGGAACACTATTTCAGGTGGACAGCAAAATAGTAAACAAGGTATTTTCTGGACTTGCAGGTCATCTTAAATTGCGATTTTTCTGGATGAAAGACATGTCATGTGGCACAACAGGTTGTACTGTAAAGATTTTGTCATTGTTTTACTGGTTGAGAATAGACGAAACATAACAAAATTTAAAAAAAAAATTTAATACAGAAGATGCACAGGAACGTGATTCTAGCCTTTCTCAGGCAAAGTCAACATTTTCCCCATCTATCCTAAAAAATGACAAACATTAGAACAGTGGCAATATTCTAATTTGCTTGTATCTAGAGAATATTGGTAATTAATTCTTTGTTTTCAGATTAAACAATTATGTTTTACCATTTCAGAGTAGAAGAAACCATGTCTCAGTTCGATGCTTTGTTGGATTTTAATGACACATCCTCGGGGGATGGGACAGTGAAGAAATCATCAGATTTTGATCCATTTGGACCAAGTCCAACGATGGATGTCAAAGGGAGTAGTGATGGTGATCTTTTGGGTGATTTTGGATTTTCTGGACAGGTAAATACATCAATGAATTGTCAGATTCTGATTTAGGCCATCTCAAGTGAAGCTAAGGCCTAAGAATATATATATCTGTTTACTACCTCGTGACTGACCCTAAGTTTGATCGTCAATGGTAAAAGATCTAAACAAATATTCAAGAAATAAGATTTTGTGTTGTTTGAGCAGACAAGGAATCCTATGATCTCTGTTTATTATTTTGTCCCAAATTTGTAATAAGATTGACAAAAAATAAAGTTGAATAGTTGTCAAAACCTTAGAAATTACAAGTGAACTATCATGCATTGCAGGGGCCTCGGTGGCCGAGTGGTCTAAGTAGTTACTACTGTAATCACTAGCCAGTCAACACTGAGGTTGTGAGTTCGAACCCCGCTCGTGCGGGTGTACTCGACTCCAATCTTAATTGACTAGGATTGTCAGTTTCCTATCGAAGGTCGTGGTTTTCTCCGGGCACTCCAGCTTCCTCCACCAATAAAAACTGGCCGCCACGAAATAGCCCAAAAGCGGTGCTTAAAAGTGGCGTTAAAACACCAAAAATCAAAAATCAAATCATGCATTGCATGCATCATTTACCAGATGTGTTGTGTAAATTAGGATTGGACTTGGGAGAAAACATGTAATTTTTGGGGGATTTTATCGATATGACAAAAAAAAAAAAATCCTGACTTCCTACCTAAATGTTCTTTATGGCTGGAGTCGGGAAACAGACATAAATTTTTTGGACTATTTGAACCAGTAGATTATATTGCCGACATTTTAGAGGCTGGCATTTGAAAGACCATGAAAAATTCTTGATGCCAAGTTTATGATAATCTTGACTCAAGCTCTACTGATGATGGATAATAATGAACTAACTTGTTGCATTTTTATTGATATTTGATTTCGTTGTTTTGCAAATGCCTGCATACTACAGCGTATTGAAAATTTGTCATTTGTTGAAATTCTAAATCCCTGGTTCACCTGTACCCACAAAAACCACCATATTTGTATCCAACGAATAATAATTAAACCACAGTATCCTGTTTTTAGCTAAACAAATTTCTTACAGACTAATGTGTTTTAACAAATCAGATAACGTCAAACATTCATTCTCAAGACTAAACAAATTTTTCGACAAGGACATGAAATTACAAGTAGAGGGCTTGTATTAAAAAATGCATGATACAGGCAATTGTATGCTGTAAATTCATGAATTAATGAGAACATTTGTTATTGTGAATCTTTGACATCTGACAAAATGTAAAATCTAATTATTAATAATGTGATTGCAAATATTTTATGAAAGAAAATCTCTATTGAAATTATGAATGCGAGTTTTGATTATTACGAACATAGTACTGTTGCATTTTTCGCCATAATAAAAACATCTCAATAATTTCTGAATTTACAGTATTTATTAGACCTCTTGAATTTGCTGTCTACTTTAGTGAAGTTTTGTACATACATTTTCTGTCTTATTGTTGACACTGCCCCATCTTATTATTTGGACAATAAAAAATCATAGCTAGTAAAAGAAGATATGACATTGTAGGTCAAATAGACAATTTTATGTCGGAAAATTTATTCAGTTTCAAGTGGTGTCTTTCCTCCCTTAAGAGGTATATATAAATCCATGTAGAAGATGTGATATTTACATACATAGATAATTGAACCACAGAAACATAAGAAGTTATCTTGTAATCAATTATTTACAACCTTTTATTGACTATGGCGAGAAGTTGATTTAAGATGTAAGAATTTACATGTTTAGCGATAAGGGTATTGTTACAATGTATTAAGCGTGTATGTGAAACATCTTTTTTGCAAAGATTGCAGATTTTTTTTTTATTTACCATTGTGAAATAAAAGATGTTGCAAATTATTTAACAATAATGAATGATTATACATACCAAAGGTACTCATCAGAGCTGTTTATAAAAACTAACAAGGGGACCAAGGATCGCAAATTGAATTTGAAACTTAATAATGGGTTTCAACAAAAAATATGTTTCATACCAGTTAAAATGTATCCAGGTCTCCACAAAATTGATTCTTTGGATGGCTACCTTATTTTTATAGTGCCTTCTTCATGTACCAAGCATGTTTTACTGGAACAGCCCTCATCAAAACTTTTCTTAATAGGTAATGGACTTTAGAACACATTTGTAGATAGAAGAAAAAATCATACATGGGTTCTAAGAATATATTTGAGAATGCTTAGAAGTTTGTAAAAGATTACCGGTAGGCAATCCATGTTGGTTGGAATTTGATCCTCTTTCCTCTTTCATGTAATAGTTCCAAGACGAGGGTTATACATTTTGCAAACTTTTCTTGCATTTAAAGTTAAAGATTTTAGATCTGTGACACTGATAGCTTGCATTTGGCTTTCCATTTTCTTGACAATAAGTTATGCTGCCTTATGTAAGTAAATATTTTTAGATAAGTAAAATCTGAGGTCCATTTTTGCTGAACTAGTACACATTTTTGTTTAGGGTGCGGGATTTTCTCGCTGTGTTGAAGACCAATTGGTGGCCTTGGGCTGTTTTCTGCACTTTGGTCAGGTTGTCTCTTTGACATGTTCCCCGTTTCCATTCTCAATTTTAAAATCCACTTAAATGCACAAAAAGAACAGACATTCAACAATTTAAAAAAAATTAAATAGCCATAAAAATATATATCACTTTGCATGTCTGTATGCTATTTTAAGAGATTGCGTAAAAAACAGAGGGTGGAACTATGGAATGCCTTTCAAACTTTTCTGCATTTAAATATTTTAGATATGACAAATCTTTAAAATCTGTCGTTGCTTGCATTTTTTCTTATGCTGCATTATGTAAGTAAATATTTTTAGATAATTATATAAGTAAACTCCACTTAAATGCACAAAAAGAACAGACATTCAACAATTTGAACAAAACAAATCGGCCATAAAAATAATATAATTGAAGAAACTAAACATCCATAAACTTTTACATTTAAATTTTTATGCAAGATTACTAAACGTTTAAATTCCTACACAAATTGTTCTTTAATTGTTAACTTTATACAATTATCTATTGATATTGATAAGTACGTTAGTTTAATAAATAGCGTTAAATGACAGTTTAACATAAACAAACGTCACACAGTAGACGGAAGGAAGTCCCCACTTGGGGCCTCATTTGTCCAAACCATCTCTGAGATTGTTGATAAGTAATACACAAGTAACTTTACAATTTCAAGTGAGGAAAAGTTAAAAAAAAAATCCAGGATCTTATCATCTGGCATATTTGTAAGTAAAAAAAGATTACCTTAGATAATAAGTTTATAAAAGTCTTTTAAAAAATGTTAATTAAATTGATACTATTGCATTTAATTGAAAAAGAAAGTGGAGACATAGGAATTTTAGTATATAGGTTGTAATACACATCTAATTATGTGTTCCTAAGGAAATAGAGTGTGAACTCTTATCTTTATTGTTGAAAAGGATGTAGAAAAAGAAAAATGTAAACAATGCATCTTCAGTTCTTGATTTTAGGTGGGGCTGGTATTTTAAAATATATCAGTTTAAATTTCACAAATTTTAAAGTATATAATTTAAAGTGTTGAGATTAAAAGACGTGTGTGTTCAGCAATATTAATTTAAGTGGTTTATTACTATTTTTGCAATGAAAGTGGGTGCTTTATAGACCTGTCCAGGGTTGGGACAGAAAAGTTGAAAGTCTTAGTAAAACTTTTTTACATTTTTTGCAGCAATTTATAATCCCATAGAATTTTAATTTGAATGTTTGAAGCTTTGATTCTTCTAAAATTCATGACTTGACATTGCCTTTTTTGTCATTTGGATAAAAGGAGGCGTGAGGGATAAGTCTACAAGTCGGCAACCCCAAGGACACAAAAAAGCAAAAGACATTTGCGGATTTGTTTGAGGCTTATAGGGAATGCAGGATTTTTCTTAACTTGCATGTATATGCAGTTTTTAAACTACGATTGATTTAGAATTTTATGATTTCTCTTGAATGTGTGAAAATTTGGGTTTTCCTAAAATTCAAGACTTCGGCTAAGTTGAAAAAACTTCTAATGAGGGTAACACACATTCATGAAGTCCAGGACTAGTTGAATAAAAAAGAATGAACAAAAAGAGCGAGTTTTCATCACTTTAATTCAGTATTTAAGTGTCATGTAAAGCCAAATAACTTTACATAAAGGTCTTATATCCTTGCTGTATGGAAGGGGGTATACTGGTTACTGTCTGACTGTCCATCTACAGTCATTCCTTCTCTTGAAATTTTTGTTGCATTTTTCTCAGGAACTGCAGACTAGAACTTTCTGAAATTTGGTATCAAGCTGTATGTGATTATGCTATGATGTATTTTCATATTCATCACTAATTAACTTCCTGTTAACCAAATACTTGTATATTCCTTCAGATAATGACCATATATATAAATTAATTTTGTCGCTTTTTCTCAGTAACTACAAGTAAGGGCTTTCTGAAATTTGGAATCAAGCATCATGTGAGAATGTTATACAGTGTTGTATTTTCATATCCATTGCTCATTAACTTCATTCTTACTGAATACTTAAAGGTGTGGTATCATTTGTGAGCTGTTGCTTAAGAGTTCAACTTGATATATTTTGGAAAAATTACCTCTGACTTCAGAATAAAAGTATCGCATCCTAATTGATCGGTAGTAGTCAAGTAACATTATATGGAATTTGTTTGCATATGAGTTCTGTAAATTCAGAAATTATTGTGCTTGATGAACAATTGACACAAATTAAACTTTTAAGATTTTAGGTTATCCTGCATACAAATAACACTCTCTGTATCAAAAGTTAAATTCAATTTTTTTGTGGTCATGTTTGAAATAATAAAAATATGGCACAACTTATGACTTCACATGTATTGTAGTTTAAAAAAAATTTTCTTGATATTTAGGTCCATTTAATATGGACAGTAACAAAGGATGATTGACACTTGACAGCAAAAAAGTTAAAACATTTATGACCTTCGTGTATATACTACATCAGTAAAA